CCCTTCATTTCAACAATACATATTCCAAAACTCTTTATTACGTTCTTAAGTGCGCATTTCATAGCATTTGCTTTACAATACATTTTAACAGATTGCTTTCCAATACGAACAATTCTTGCTTAAATAGTTTTATAACGTATTTGTCAACAGGATTTCAATTTATGTTTACAATTCAATATTAAGGTTATTATATATTTAGATAACATTTATAATCATTATAAATTAGATATTTAATCATTAGATTTCTTCACAGTACTATCACAGTTGTTTATAAGTGAATAAATTCTTCATTTCAAATACATTTATAAATAATTCAATGAATATTTAAGTATTTTGTCAAAGGCAGATACATGCTTTTTGCAAGCACATGCATAAATACCCATACATATTTCCTATTTATCATTTCCGGCATGTGCAAATCTTTAATTTCTTTTCTGTGCATTCACTATATTTTTTCGTGTAAAGTAATTTACACTAATTTTAGCATACACCCGAAAGTTTTGCATAAAAAATATATATGAATATAATTTGAATGAAAATTATAAGTATTATTTTTAATACCCACTCAAAGGTCAGTTTTTTTTCAAAATTCCCCACGATGGCATCTCTCTCCTTTAGGCAGATAGCCTTTGCATGCGTTACTCTATTTAATAAAAACTTAATCTGACCTATGTGCCTAATTACAAATATTTTAACATACATAATTTATATTTACATTTAGCCGTCAAGTTTCAAACTTTTCAAATCTTCTAGAAAATAAATTTTGGCAGATCTCTTTTAGCAATTTTCTTAAAAATCTATATTTTTTTTAGTGCAACAGCTTAGAATTTTATTAAACAAATTCATAATCAAAATCGCTGTTGTTAGTTATCGAAAAATAACCAAGATGTGATTTTTGCGTAAATGTCAGTAAACTATACAAATTGCTATTATCCATCACACTATGAATGTTTCTTTCATGCGAGAGTGTCCCTTTTTCGATTTCTATGGAACTGTCGTGTGTCGAAATACTATCAGAATTTTGTCAAGCGAGCTTCTGAATGTAAACAAAAAACACCCCGTCTGGTGACCCAAGCTTCAAAGCAGTGCTTCACTTCTAGCGCGGAATGGCCCCTCCTCCCTTTCCTACCTCCATGTGGAAGACTAAATGGGGGGGGGGCGGGAATAAAGAAGTCTTTCTCTTAACATGTGTTTATTTTCCATTTGTTTCCTCTTCTTTTCACTAAACACAAGCATGGAAATTGAAAAAATGGTTTTAAACTTTTATCCTTGGGGCAGGTATCCGTAAAAAGGTAAACTGATAAAGATTAATCTTTTATGTTCTGTGTGCTGTACATACTTGTCATTTTATGGCATAGTGCAATCTCTGTGTGTTCTAAAATTTGTGCCACTCATAAATTTTGCTGCCCAGTGCCTGTCCTAAATTCTTGTCAACCCTACATTTAATTTCTTGGTGCTTCAGTAAATCATAAATTCTGCCACATTAACTTTGACCCTGATCATGTCATTTCAAATTTATTCTTAATACTCTTATTCAAGAAATAAAATTAACGGTTTCTTCTAAGCATTCTAAATTCATGCATTTTTTTAGAGTAACAGAAATCTTGAATTAAATCTCAACATTTTAAAATGAATAGGAAACTTATTGAATAAGAAATTGATTATATGAAGAGAAAAGTTGTTTTCAAAGGTATATTGTTGAAGCCTTTACAAATTATGATATGAAGGAGAGGTTAATGATAACAGTGATTTGTTTATTAAAATAAATGCACTTGGAAAAGATTCTAAAAAAAAAAATAAAAATAAAAAGGATTTGATATAAATTAGCAAAAAAATCTGGAAAATTTTCAGATTAAAAGGAAACATATTATTTTGTTGAGTGTTGCTGCAAAACATATATGTTATAGGGTGTTTTCTACCTCTTTTTAGCATGCCTTCGTGGTTAACGGTAGCACACTCAGCACATATTCTAGAGGTCCAGGTTCAAGTCCTGGTGAGGGCATTGCTCATTTTTCACATATCCTGCTTCAAAAAACCAATGACTCTGCATTGGTGCCCATACTAAAAGGTGGTGGACAATAATTCATCAACACCAGGATTTGGCAATTAGGTCCCCTAATCTCCTGTTGCCCTTTAAAAGGGAAAGTATATAAGGTACTTTCTTCCTCCTTCCTTCATGGTGTAACAGTAGCACAACGCATATTCGAGAGGTCCAGATTCGAGTCTTGGCGAAGATATTGCTTATTTTTCACCTCTTTTACTTCAAAAGAAAAAAAAAAAAGGCTAATGGCTGTACAATGTTTTGTAGCTTTTAAATCCTAATAATGTTCTAGAATTAATGTCGGAAGGTATACGTGGATTACCTGTTATTTCAAATTATAAAATTTTTCTAAGATTGGCATTTTAATAATGTTTTTTAATGAATATTTTTTAAATAAAAAAAAATTAAATAGTGGTCATGTAAATCGCAGTTACAAATCTGCAGGGTATCTAACTGCCTAATTTAATTAGTTGTAACTTGTTAACTGTGGATGCAAGATTCAGTGCAAAAATGTAAAAACTAACATAAAACTTCATTCCTTAAAGCTACTGTGACGTATCACCTCCGGTGCTTCAGCAGCTTATTCAAACTTAAGAGTATATTAATTGGGTTACAATTTCAGCAACTTTTACATGCAGCTACACACTAACTGTGTCAGACAGACAAAGTGAAACTAACTATTAACACTTAGCAACCATGACAACATCAAACACTCATAATTAAGACACAATAACACTTCGAACCATTATTAATTTAGAAGTCAAAAGTTCGACGGTTTTTCCGAACCCTTCCTCAGCTGCAAGATGGTTTGGTAAAACCGTCGAAACTAAACCTGTGAAAATTTGAGAATATAACGCTGATTTTTGTTGTTTGACTTCTAAATTAATCAGACACTCATACTTGTTCTGATCAGCTGCTGTTTCTCTTGGCAAGCACAGCCAAACTTCTGTTTTGAATCATGTTGATTATGATTTTACTTCTACATTTAATCTGTTGCTTGACATAAAATCTGCATAAACATCTGGACTGAGTGCGTACATGATACAACAAAGTCATGAAAGAAAGAATCATCATAAAGCTAACTTTTAGAAAACTTAAATAAAATGTCACTAATCCTCTTTATTTAGAACTATTTTAAAGAAATATAAAAAATAAATGTTTCAAGGAAGTTTGTAATTTAATATTAACTACTTGATAAATTTCATGAAGCTGATTTTATTCATGAATTTGTTTTATAATTTTTTTGACTATTAGATTATGTTTAGTGACAATATTGTATTCTACTTGCAGACCTATTTTATTCTTAGAATGGTGTTATAAAAGTAAAGTTAGAGCATAGATAATTGCTTTAATTTATTCAGTTCCAGTTTGCTGATAGGTCCTTAACTTTTTTTCACTGATGTTCATTAAAAGTACTTAATTTCTTGTGCAGAAATATGTATAAACCCTGGTCTTTCCTGGTGAATGATTGAAAAGAACTGTCCAGCCATTTGGGGAGGAAGGGTGAGAAGGAATATAATGTGGCTATGTGAAATTTCTGAATGATTGTATTTTATGATTTACCTCATAGCAATGGGTACAGCTTTACATTTAAAATGACAAGTGAGTACCAAGAAAGGTAGACTGAGAAAATTTGCATCAAGAGTAAGGCATGCATATGTTCAGAAACATGAAATTTGTGTCCTGTGTGTCTCAATTTATATAATTGAAAGAATTAAAGATGAAGGGAGTAGCTTAAGTTAAAAAGCAGCATTTACATTCTGATATTTAGGTGAAGTATTACATTTATACTCGTACATTGTAGTATGTCAAACATAGCACAGAATCGAAATTATGATTTTCTTTACCAAACATTTCTTATGAAAGTAAAAACTCATTAGAATATCAGTGATATTTTTTCAGGGTATTAAATTGTATGGGTAACACAATTTGTTCACTATATACACAGAAGAGCCATTACATTATGATCACCCTCCATCTATAAAAATGGACTTGCCCAGGAACAAAACCACTGTGTGTGCGTGGCTGATGGCATATATAAAGTGACTATGCATTGTCTTTCCAAACATAGTGCAATTAGCGTAATGGGAAAAGCAGCTGATTTATCAGAATTCGATAAAGGACAAATCGATATGGCTGGGCAGCTGGGAACATCAGTATCAGAAATGGCACGTTTAGTGTCCTGTTCACGTGCAGTTGTAAGCACATGTCGAAAGTGGTGTATGGATGGTAAAATGACATGTCGCCAGCCAGCAGTATGTCATCGACAGCGCATTGATTCCAAAGAGCAGAGATTGCTACGCATTGCTTGCTGTGACTGAAGAGCTACAACAGTGGCAACCCTAACAGTGTTTCTCAACACACTATGCAGTGCACATTGTTGTGTATGGCTCTACACAGCCAGAGGGTGAAGCATGTCCCTTCACTGACAGCACATCATTGCCAGCTATGTCTACAATGGGCCAAGAAACATCGAAATTGGCCATTAGAAGAATGGAAGAAAGTTGCATGGTCCGACGGATTGTGTTTTCTGGTCCATCACATTGACGGGCGTGTGCCAATACGCCGATTTCCAAACGAAACCCTGACTCCCGGATGAAGAGTTTGGACGGAGAGAAAGCCGGTGACAGGATATTATGGTGTGGGTAATGTTTTCATGGAGCACATTAGTACCCATAATCCCCATAGAATAATCCCTAACATCTCTGCACTACATGAACATCATTGCAGACCAATTTTGAGGGCTAAAGGTGGTATTACATGTTGTTAACAGGGTGGTCATTATGTAATGGCTCTTCGGTGTGATATATCACTCAATACCTTAATTTTCCTAATCTAAACATTGCATCATTATTTAATAATTTACAGTAAATTTATTTCATAAAATCTTTATTTCAATATTTATACACTCTCTTATTATGTATCTAAATGACTTCTGTTATGTATCTAAATTTTTCAGATCCTATACGAGCTTTACTGTTTTCTCCTGATGGGCAATATTTAATTGTAGCAGCAGGAAAGCATATAAGGATATTTCATAATATACCTGGCTATAAGAATAAAATTTTAGGTTATGAAGAAGCAAAGAAAAATGCAACAAATGCTACAATGAAAGAACGTCTGCAAAGTCAGATAGAAGAAGCTAAGTAAGTTTTAACTTTCTTATGTGACATAACATACAGACTTTGTTTTGTGTAGTATAAAAATGAGATACAGTCAAAAGTCGTTAATCCGGACTCGTCGGGACTTCGTCGATTCCGGATTATCGATTTTTCCGGATTATAGATCATCAGTTTAAATCTCGTAAGATGGCATGCAGAAATTCTAAAATTAAAAATATGAAACCGTAATTTATGAAATAAAGAACAATTATGATCTAAAGGGTATCAAATTTACAAAAAAAAAAAAGCTTAATATTTATTTGTTTACTTTATTAAACATTTCTTTCAATGCAAGTTGTTTAAGTTGCTTCGTTTTATGTGATAATACTTTCTCTTTAATTCTATAAACAGACATAATTTCTTGTTCAGTTACAAAGTTCCGCTGTTCAAGTCCTGTAATTGCTGTGCCGAGAATACCGACTAACTTGTCAATCGAAATTTTTTCGTTTTCACTAACCTCTCTGTCACCTTCTTCATGTCTTTATCCATTTTTTGCATCAATTCCACTTTTTGTTTGATGGACATCGAAACATACTTTCGTTTTGTACGATCCTTTGGGAGCTCCAGAATCGGAAATTCTATTTGACATAATCGAAAGTTCAAGTTTATTGTTATAGTATTGCTCTTACAGTCTGCAAAAAATAATAAGCCGGATCCAATTCGACAATTCGAAGATTAAGGAACAACGCAATCATCAACATTAACTGAAATAGATAATTAGATAATTTTAGCTTATACCGGCCGTTATACATAAAATGCGCAAGCGAAAACGTATTCTGCACTTGCGCACACGCATATGTGCAGTTGTAAAAGGTCTTACGCGCACGCGTAAACGCCTATGCGCATGTGTCGACACGGCGCATGCGCAGAAAGTTTTTAGCTTTGAGGTCCGGATTATGGGTGTCCGAATTAACGACTTTTGACTGTACTTAAGTTTCCTCTAGTATGTATATTGTTATGTGCAGTCAATTCTGAAGTAATGGACTAGCATGAAATTTGTGTTTTAGCTATTAATATCCATTTTTATGCTTATACATTAATAGGCTAAATATATAAAATCAAGATTAGCACTTTTGTATCAGATATTTTGGTTCTTAGTGTAATTTTTCATCATCATCTATGATATTTTCTATATGTAATGTAACTGTGATGTAGATTGCAATGTAAAAATTCCCCAAATAGGTAGCCCTTTTATAGTAGACAGACCCTGTTTTAATGTCATTAACTTTCAGCATCTGCTAAAACTGATTCCTTCTTCCTCCTCTTTTTTAAATATAATGAAGCTGTTGCATTTCAAACGGAAGCTCCTGATTTATTTCATTGATATGTATATAATAATTATATCCCATAATTTTTTAACAGTTTAAAAAAATATATAATCGTGCCTAGTATTTTCACACATTAAGCTGCTGAAAAATTATCAGTAAAACAGGGTTCGTACGGTTCTTAAAAGTCCTTAAAAGTCGTTTAGTTTTTTGGAATCGATTTTTGGTCTTTAAAAGTCCTTAATTTTGGCCAAAAGCGACAGAAGGTCCTTAATTTGAATCATCTGAAATTTCTGTCTGTTTTTATGATTGTCATTTCGAGTGTGAATTAGCATTTTGCAGGAATATTTTTGACGATTCACTGACAAATATGGCTATTTTTTTAATGGGTTCATGAGTTATAATTTTTTCCTATTTGTAATATAAATAATGGTGGAATACTCGAGTTTCTGAGCAAGAAGTGAAACAAAGGCATTTCAAAATTATTTCATTTTTTGTAATGAAGAGCTCTCAAACAACTTCTCCCTTTTGGGCATGTGAATTCTTTTATTAAACGGCTCTAAATTTGGCGATTATCAACATTTTGGCGATTTTAAGATCGGTTTCTATAAAAATTTTTAATTCCGAGATTGGGAATTTTTTTGACGATTTTTTTGTTAAATTTCATTAAAATAAGCGAAAGATTGGAACTATACATAAAAATAAATCATTTAAAATAAAGTATTTTTCACTTGTCATATTATAAAGTTCCATTTTGGCCACATATTATACAATTTTTTGAATCTGAAAATAAGCAAGGAATAATGCTATAAAGCACAGTTAACAAAACAGTTTTTAGCAAAAGCAAAATAGCTATGTAATTAATTAAAATGTCTTTTTAATTTTTCATGGTAAGAATTTTTCCCATTTCTCAGAATGATCAGAATTTCAGAAAATTGCATCAGTTTTCTCTATAAATTGATTTCACACTCTTTTCTTTGATTTTTAAAAAACATTTCTGGCTTTTTGCTGTTACAGAATTGGTAGGGGTAATTTTTCTTAGAATTTAGACATTGAAGCTTGGAAAGTTAGAAAGATTTTAAGGCAAATTATAGACCCTCGATCCTAAAAGATTCCAGAAAATGTGATAAATGAAGGTTCTGGAGTGTAGACAAGTGTGTTTTGACTCCACTTGCTCTTTGCATTAGTTGATCAGCTCTGATAATTTGTAATTGTAGTCTTTCCATTACTGTTGCTGACATTTGAGTTTATTATGACAATAGAGTTCCTGAACAGATTAAAGAAATTAAATTGTATAGTCTTTAACCACTAGTCCATATTTTGAGTTTGAATTTGACTCTTCTTGTTTAATTATATCAGCACAAACTAATTGATTTTGTTAGCATAAGAACAGGCCTATATGTTCCAATTCTTTTTGAATAAGAAGCTTATTTGAACCTTTATTGAAATTTATTATCTGATTTATAATTACTTTCAGATATAGTGATAATTTGTTTCACATCTGTCGGGAGGGGGGGGGTCGGACTGTTAACTTTTACCATATCAAGTAAACCCTAATAGGTAGTACATTGTGGAGAGGTTGGCAGTTAGGATATAAAACATGCAGAAACTAATGAGAACATTGTTTTGCATATGAGACAAATTTCTAATTGTTAGAAAACATTTTAAGGAGAAGAAAAAATCGATATAAATTAGCCAAATGTCTGGGCAGGCCTTCAAATTAAAAAGACGCATATTATTATGCGAGTTTTATGTTTTGTAGATTTTAATGTGTAATATCCTCTATATGTTTAAAAATCAATGTCATAAATTGCATGTATTTTAAACTGTGAAATTTTATGAGATTGTGGTATTAATAGGGTTTTTTAACAAATATTATTCTGTTATTTTCGTTTGGCTGGCGTCAGTCCGCTGGACCGACAGTATTAAAGTTAAAAAATAAGTATAGTCTCAATGAAGTGTGATCAAAAGTAGTTTGAAAGTAGTAATGAAATTTATTGAAACATTCTAAACAAAAATACGGCTTAGCTTTACACATATTACAATATGAAACAACTATTTTGGTTACATTTTTGGCTATCTTGCATCCAAATAGTTTTGAATTGTCATCATAACATTTCGAACAATACTTTTGGACTTTATGTGCGTCTCCTTCCTTTTTGTATAATTTATGAATAATTTAAGTCGGCAGTACTGCCACTGGCTGATCGCTGCCGGCTGAACAGAAGGACAACAAATTGGCGCCGGGCTCAAACGTGTTAAACCTTACCGTGGTCATAAGGTAAAAACCAAAGTATAAAAATTCATGTGAAACTTATACTTTGCATCTAGTGAGACTTAATAAAACAACTTATCATCGCTAATTGCTTTAGTGGCCTAATAGAACCTTAAATTATATTAATGAGTTACAATCCCTGGAACTCTACACAAAGCTATGACACTAACAGCATCAGACAGTCGTCAGCTAATTTTCAAAACTTGCTAACTATGCCTACATCAGGCCTTTCAGGTTGTTCTGATTAGCAGGTCTTACTATAGGCGAGCAGGAGCGGTGAAAACAGCCAGTCTTTGTTATGAATCATGCTGATTATGATTTTTAATGCTCATTTTAAACCTATGCTGCTTGACATAAAATTTACTTACTAAACCTCCAACTGAGCAAGTGTGTGACAAAATGAGACATTAAAAAAAAAAAAAAAAAAGCTAACTGTTAGTAAAATGTAACTAAAATGTCACTTATCTTCTTTCAGATTATGTCCAGTTTATGAGTAAAATTTTAATGCTACTTGATAAATTTCATAAAATTATTTTATTCTCAAAATATTAATAATTATGTTGTTATGTTTAATAATAATGCAAGCTACTCACATTCAGGATAGATATATATTTTAATTGAATTTATTCAGTTCCCATTTGCTCATAGGTCCTTAATTTTTTTCATTAATGGTCCTTAAAAGTACTTAATTTCCTTGTGCAGAAATGCGTACAAACTCTGTAAAAACGTAAAGTAAGAAATTTAGAACTGCTTTTCCACAAAGACTAAAAATTACCATAATTTCCGGAAGAAAGACCGCATCAGCGTAAACGCCGCACTCGAGAAAAATGGCGGGAAAAAAATTTAAATTACACAGAAACGCCGCAATAGATTAAATTGCGCGTGACATCGTCGTGGGCCATATAGATGCAAAAACTCAACCTAAGTCCTGATATATGACATACCAGTTAAGAAAAATGCATGAAATGAAACCATAACTCAAAAATAAATTAAAGGTAAGAAATGTATAGCTTCTGTGCCGTTTAGAGACATTTTCAAAAATTTTCCACTCCCTTCTTACTTAAAAACTATTCAACAAGTACTTGTACTCAAAACTGATGGGATCTGTTTGGCAGAATGCCAAGAAAAATTGTTCATGCTGAAGGGAAAATAGGTTGAGTCTTTAGTAAAAATTTGCAGAAAAAGGAGGGTGGGGAGGGAGGGTCTGGAAGATTATCGAATACAGAGAAGATAGATATTCACTGATGAGAAGTGATTTGAAAGGGGAAGAATGTTTGTTCTGAATCTCGTTTAGTGAATAAGGCCGTAGGTCCGTTCAAGGGAAAGAATGTAAACAAAAAACGTTCGCAAAAAGCAATGAGTGGTCTTTGTGTGGGAAAGCACCAGTCATGCATACAAGGCCACCAAACTAGTACAATGACCATCGTGAAATATTTTTTTTTAGTGCACCTAAACGCCGCATGGGTAGAAACGCCGCACCCGCTGAAAATTTAAATTTTAAACACGTAAACGCCGCAGCGTTTCTTCCGGAAATTAGGGTAAGTCTTTTCACTAAAGTTTTGTAATTTCACTTAGATTTAAAATTTTTTGGATTATGTGTTATTTGTTTAAAGGTAACAATTTTGATTTGAATTTCTCACTGAAGTATTTTATTATTTCACTTACGCTTTCAATTCTTTTGATAGGATTCTCTTTATTTTAAGTACAAGAATCTAATTAGAATTTACTTTGTTTTTTCCTTGCTTTGGGAAATGGCCAGAATTTTTGGATGAGTTGTTATGATTAAAATACATCGAAATGGTTCGTTGGCTAATTCTGGATACAGAAAAGCAAGGATTTTTGTGGAAGAGAGATTGCAATTAATTTCAATGTCCCTTCTCCTGAAGAAGTGGGATTGAAATTGATTGAAATCATCTTCTATCAGGTTCATTTTTCTTTTAATTTCATTTATTTTGTGTGCGTTTGTTTGTTTGTTTGTTGATGATGTAATGTGTAATGAGTAAGAAATCAGAGTATTTAAATGTACAAATGTTAATGTAATATTTAATGAATAAATAATGTGTTTATAAAAGGGCTGGTAACATTTTGATGCATAGGATACTGGTTTAATTTTTCCTAAACTGTAGTTTAAATATATTGTTATTAAATCTTTTAGAACAATATTATTTCATTCTGCATGTGCATCCTTGAAAATGAGAATGTCAGTTTTTTAAATATGGCAGTTTGAGAACAGGTAGTAAAAGTTTGAGAAACTGCTATGGTTTTAGTATAAGAGACACTACTATGTGTATAAACACGCATGCCAGTGACCTCCTGCATAAATCTAAGTGTTTTAGCAAAATACCTTGAAAGGTGAGTTACTGTCCAAGTATATGAATTAGAAATCTTATATCTTCATACCACAGAACTTTGATCGTATAGAAAAAATGCATCAGCTTGTTAAATAAAAGCTTATGAAAATATGACATATGATGATGTAATAACTTGTTGTTAAAGCTAAGTTTAAAGCTAAGTTGTCAAGAGAAAGGAAGCCCTTGACGTCGAAAGAAGATTGGAAAGTTCCCTTTCTGCTTGAAGACCTAGTGTAGGACATTTTTAAAAAGTTCTAGAAAATTTCAAAATTAATAGCTTTTTATCATTGTTTTAAAAGGGGACAAAGAGTTTGTTTTATAATCCACAAAAATTTTTAAACTTTATGACAGATATATTTTCAGATGTTGAAATTTTAAAATAATAGACTTCAAATAGTTGAAAAAGTGAACAATTTTTGAAAATTCATGAAAAAGTCAGAAATTACATTACAAATTGAATATCAATTTCATATGAAAGATTTTTCTCTGCTCTATATAATAGTGCAAACAGAAAAATTCTGAGATTTTCAGTTTTTATCACTGAAGATATGTCCAAAAACATCAATTCAGCATGAAATTTAAAAAAAAGTTTTAAAAAAAATTGCTGTATTGCACTCCTATCTGTAAAGAGTTTATATGCAAAATTTGAGCTTGATAGATTGTCAGGAAATAGTTTCAAAATTGATGAGAAACTTTTGACCATAGCGGCAAAGATTAAGAGTGAGCTAAATAAAATCTTATAAAAAGAAATGTTTTATTAGAAATGAGAAATTTCAAGAGAAAATACAAAAATCTGTCTTCTCCATATTTACTATTTACGTTTTTACTGATGGTGTGATACCTTTCTGCAAAACAGCGAATAAAATATGTAAATCGATTTTCACTCAACTTTTTTATTTTCGCATGTGCACCCTAAAATATGTCCAAAACATGGCTAGTCTGTCAGATATTAAAATTAGGAACAGGAAATCAGAAAATACCATTTTCCCCTTGACTTACCCTCTCTCTCTCTCTCTCTTTTTTTTTTTTTTTTTTTTTTTTTTTTTTATGTTTGGAATTATTGTCTAAATGCAGTTAATATTCTAAATTTCCGTATGAAATTCAAGTTTCTTTAATTTTGAATCAATGTAAATGTATGTCTGTGAACTGGCTGTAACTTTCCTTCATATACCCCAAAATCACATGCTTTTTGTAGATTTTTAGAAAAAGTATGTAAATTTTAAATATGTAAAAATAGAAAAATTATGACATTGAAAACATAAACACGGCAGTATAAAAAGATATATGAATTCTCCTCCAACTGAATTCTGTATGTAAATTTTATATTGTAACTTTTGTTCCTTATATTTTCAATACTCTTCTTTTCTTTTTGCAGGGACATCTTGCGAAACTTTGGAGAAAACTAATATTTTTGTATACTTTTTATACAAATCATCATTGTTAAAATATTTTAAAGCTAAAAATAAATACATCTCAACTATTTAATAAATCATTCCAGTTTTGTGCCATTTTTCACCTTTACCAAAGTAATAAGAGTACAAAAATGTAAAATATATATTTTTAACATGGCAGTGAGTGTTTGAGGTGTTTATTTTTTGTATTTCAGTTTAATTGCTTTTCTTCAGTTTCGTGAAAACGATGTTTATTTCTATAGCTCCTATTTCCTTTTTCATATGATTGCTTTTTTGCCTTGCCATTTCTAAAATTTATTTAAAAATCTGATTTATAACATTATTTTAAAAATTAAATAAATGTAAAACCCTCAGAACTGATTTATCTAGAAGTAATTTAAGTAATTGCTTAGAAAAATCATAAATAATTGCTGAGATTTAATAAATACTGTGGCTTTAATTGCTTTTTCATACAGAATTAAAATATTTGATAGGTGAAATTGAATCTTGGAATTGGGAGAAAATTGAATCTTCAAATTTACATGGTGTAGAAAAAATTAGAAACCTTGCGCCTTTTTATGTATAACGTGTACTATAAATTAAAACTTGATTGATCTGATTAAGTTAAAACTTGGTCTAATTGCTATACTAAATTATACAACTTTAAAATTTGATGGGAAGCATGTGAAATTTTGATTTAATTTTGTATATTCCATTTATCCATTTTTTTAAAGAGTTATTTCAAACCATAATGAAACTTTTTTTTGTAATTGTGTGTTGTGCTCGACTGTGGTAAATGTTTTAATACACTAAAGTGTTAAATCTGTCTCTCTAGTCTTTGATCAAATCTTTGCCAGTTATAAAATTAATGCAGTATACATTTTTAAAGCACTTTTTTTAATTTAAAAACCTTAAACTATTATTATTGGCACTGCAAAAGTTTAAAAAGTAACTTGTTCGTATATATTTTCCCCTACTTTTTTAAGCAAATTGTTGACTTTATCGTAAATTTTGCCGTGTTGTGTGCATATTTCCCATTTTGCTTTGATTTTTTGATTAAAAAAAATATTTGAAAATAATTTTTTCCAATAAAGGTGTATGTCAAATAACTACTGGTTATGTGGTTTCTTTAAAAACAATCTGGACTTTTATTATGCAAGTTAGTCCTCCATTGCACATGTTTTTTTTTTTTTTTTTTTTTTTTTAGGTGATGAAATTAATGTGATCATTATCTAATAAATAAGTTATTTTCAATGTTTATAACAAATAATTCTTTTGGCTTTTATATTAATTTATATACAGTACAAAGTCCATAATCCGGAATGATATAAAATCCAGACCTCAAAGGCCACAAACTTTTTTTTTGTATGCTTTATGCATGCACGTAAAGAGTGTGTGCGCGCGTAATGTATGCTCTACCATGCATGCTTGTAAAGAAAGTTTTCAATAAAACAAATAAAGATTAAGTGGTTTTTTTTTTTTTTTTTGTAATTTGATATCCTTATATCATAATGCTTATTTCATAAATTACGTTTCAATTTTTAATGTATAATTTCTGCATGCCAGCTTACTATTATAGTGATGATCATCCGGAAACAACCTAATCCGGAATCACGAAGTCCCGACGAGTTGGATACGGCTTATCAGAATTGCTTATTTAGGCAACCTGATTCTTTGGCATGTAATCTTATCCAGTATGAAATTTCACAAAATAATGATTTATTTTGTTTCATTAAAAAAGTTCAACAGCGTTATCTTACATAAATTAAAAATCATTAATAAATGCTATTCTTTAATTTTTAGGGAATACTTTGTTTCATCTGAAATGAGCTATGAAGTACTTTACCAAATAGACATACAGTGTTGATATTTTGAATGTCCATATTAATTTAGACATATTAGGAGAACATTTCATAAGGTTAAGAAATATCTTCCATACTCTGTATCTTTTTTTTGTACCGGGAGTATAAGTTCAAAGCCTACATAATTATGTGAAATAGCAGATAATACTTAATACTATGTATAATTATATTCATGTAACGTACAGTGGATGGACAAAAATATGGAAACACCTTGTGAAATGCATGTTTGAAAAGAAAGATTGATTTTAATGAAATATGTAGGTGGCACTGCCGTTTTTGACTACTGACGCCACCTATACAACTTCGTAAATGTGCTAAACAGTTCAGTTGTCGGAGTACTGTTATGTGAGGTTGTCATTGCATTATGTCAGAGTTAACAGACTTCGAACGTGGGCAAATTGTTGGAGCACGTATGGTAGGTGCTTCCGTAAGCAAGGTAGCCGAGGTGTTTAGTGTTTCAAGAGGTAGGTACTGTATCGAAGATTTATTCCGCATATTTGAAAAGCGGAAAAACATCATCTGCTAAATCACACCGCGGACGAAAGTGTGTCCTGAGTGATCGTGACAGACGATCATTAAGGGCAATTGTGACGAAAAATAAGAAGACCACAGCTGAAAAAGTTACTGCTGAAATGAATGTTGTGTTACCGAACCCTGTGAGTACCAAAACAATTAGAAGGGAGCTTCATAAACAGGGAATTGCTGGCCGTGCTGCAATTGAGAAGCCACTCATCAGTGATGCTAATGCCCGTAACAGGAAAAGGTGGTGTTTAAGTCATAAAGCCTGGACTATAGAGCAGTGGAAGCGAGTAATATGGTCTGACGAGTCTTCTTTCACATTGTTTCCCACTTCTGGCCGAGTTTACGTCTGGAGAACGCCATCTCAAGCCTATAATACAGACTGCTTGTTGCCAAGAGTGAAACATGGCGGGGGTTCTGTTATGGTTTGGGCAGCCATATCGTGGTTCTCTGCTAGCCCCATGATAACTGTGTCAGGGCACATGACTGCCAAGACTTATGTGAACATTTTGGCCGATCAAGTTCATCCATGGTACAAACTTTGTTCCCCGATGGTGATGGTGTCTTCCAAGACGACAAAGCCCTGTTCACACAGCTCACATTGTCCAGGACTGGTTTTTCTGAGCACGAGGATGAGTTGTCCCATCTCCCCTGGCCACCACAGTCACCAGACCTGAATATTATCGAACCTTTGTGGTCTACATTGGAACGGAAAGTGCGTTCTCGTTATCCACCGCCAACATCGTTATCTGAACTTGCCACCGTTTTGCAGGAAGAATGGTATAATATTCCCTTGGCAAACACACAGGAACTGTATTTATCCATTCCGAGAAGACTGCAAGCTGTTTTGGATGCCAACGGGTTTCCTAAACCATATTAAGCAAAGAAAGATGTTTTTTTAAAGGTGTTTCCATATTTTTGTCCAACCCTGTACATTATAATAGTCAACTTTATTAAAAAAGTTTCCTTTTTAAATGGATATTCACTTGTCATAATTTTTCGTATCACATTTCGTAATTGCGCCACGGTTCACCCACTTCCAGATAAAGTTAAATATTGCGTTTATTAATGCACATTATTTTTTTTATGGCAGGATCCTGTAACTTTGAAAGTACTTAGTGTTAGTTTTGTAGAAAGCAAGTCCCAGATTTTAATCTTTTTTTGTTTCTGTACAAAAATAAAATCGAGGATTAATCAGAATTACATACAACAAAAGTTCTTATGAGTGCTTTTTGAGGTTATACTTATTTATTATTGGCACTAAATTGCACAGTTTAGTGAGAATTTTTGTTTGTTGAGAATGGCCAAGAAGAAAGTAAATACAGTGGCTCACATTTGTTTTCAGATGCTTATGTTTTTGAGTTTTATTTCAAAATATCAATCACTAAACATTAGCAAAATGACTTCTCTTTCATGCATAATATTGTTCCTCATTTTTAAAAAAGTTATTCAAAACGTTTTTGGTTTAAAAAAAAAAAAGCGTATCTGGAAAATTCTGAAAATGAACTTGTATATGTATTCGGATACTTTAAGCAAGCAGCTTATATTTAATAAAAGCATGAAAGTAACAGGACATCCAATACTTCGTTAGATATCATTTAGCTAAAATTAACTCTTTTCATGTGCATTGGCATGGATTTTAATTTTTTTTCTTTCGAGTAAGCATGTTTCATTTTGTTTCATTCCTACGTAAGAATTGCTTTTAATAGAGCTTTCAAAGAAGTGTCATGTTTGCTTATTCTGTTCTCCAACTCATTCTTTACATGTTTGATAGTATTAAAATCTGAAGAAACCAAAAGACTTGTTATAACTTCAGGACAGTTTTATAATAATCACAAGTAAATGTTCAGGGAATATTTAAGATTGTTATCCCTGTAGAACTTGAATGTACTCTTAATTTGCATTCCAAGTTTTCTTGCAGATGCTTTCAGGTTCATTAAGAATATTTGTATAAGAACATGGATCAATATAGATCCATGCTCTTTTTCTGTAAAAAATAAATTCCCCATTCCAGAGGCAGCAAAATATACCCAAACTATTATGCTTTCACCTTCATGCTTAACTGTAGTCAATAGGTTTTTCTGGTTTATTTCTTCATTCAACTTTCACTTTGCAGCAACTTGTGCATTAGGCCCAAGTATATTCATTTGCAAATGGAACATTACTCCAATGTGATTAATCTTTCTTATTATTGATTTTACAAACACCAAGCACATTTTCATTGTTTTCTTGTTGACTAAGAATTTTCTTCTTGCTGGTCCCCATTATAAGAAAGTGTGACCCAGTGACTCTTACAAACCCATTTTGGTATTAACTTTTACTGTAAGCCGTTCTCCTAAATCTGCTGCAAGTTTTATAATGCTAAATTTTGAATTTGTTTGTTTTTTCAAAGGATAAATCTCGATTCTTTGTATTAGCTTTTATTTATTTAGATTCTTTGTATTAGCTTTGTATTTTAAGTATGGCCCAGCTCTCAGTGCATTTTGAACACTTCCATGCAATTTCCATCATTTTAACGAAGGTAATTGAACATTTTATATCAATGATTTAAAAAAATATTTTGAATAATTTTCTAATCTTTAAAATTATTAGTTAAATTTCGAACAGAACTTGTTGATTTGTATCGTCTTGCAATGCTCATTTCAGATATGGAACTATTAATATATTTTGCTAAACAAGTAATAATTTTTAAATGCAATGATAATGTGTTAGATATGTTTATAAAATAAAAAAATACGTTAAGAAACATTGTCTTCTAAAGCACCTGAACAAAACTTTAGAGCAGTGTTTCACAACACATACCATTGGTGGTATGCAAGAAAAAAATAGATGGTATACAAAGATGCAAAAGTAAAGTATTTTTAACTATTAAATTTAAAAATTCACTTTTAGAGTAAATTATTTTATTGCAAAAAATATTTTGATGGTATTTATTTTGTTACAAGCAAGTCTTAAAATAGAGAGAGTGGGAAAATTTGAAGTTTGTTTCAGTATAAATTTCAAAAATACAAGTCTACTGTACGTAAGAACCAATTTATGTACCCCTTCTCCCTGTTAATTAAAGCAACTGTGGGATTACACATTCATACCCTACATAAGGTAGAATGAGAAAGTTTGATAAATTAGTCTTATTTTATGGACTCAAACACTGGCCCAAAGCCTTGCTACCTTCAATTTAGTCTTGGAATGGTGGGCCTTCTGAATTGATTAAGGATAGGAAGAGGGACTATTTGATTTCTTGTTATCCACTATGGGGTTTTAAGTAGGAACCTGATGCATACCTCCAGAAGAGAAGCCTTGTCAATACAGATGTTAATGAGCACAATAAACAACCTTAAGGAGCAGAAGATTTCAAGGGGTGATAGAATGATGAAAATCATGCAATTTTTAAAAGCATTGCTTAAGCAATACTTCATTGATCTAAGTGATATTTGTGCTTGTGTTTTCAGTTATCATGGAAAATCTATACTGGGTACCTTTGGACTGCTATGTGTCACTAAATTAAACTTGTTCTTGTTTGGCAGAAGTTTCATAAATGGTAAATAGCATGTTTCTTTTAACATTTTTCAAGACTAGTAAATCACAGGGAACTAATTTAACAAACTGAGATTGGGGGGGGGGGTATTCCTACATTAACTACTGCAATAGTGTAATATGTTACTCTTATGAAATGGAGTTTAATGTACTGCTATGTAGGTATATGGGTCCATAATTTTCACTGTAACTGG